TCCAACATAATCGCAATTGAAGAAAAGAGGTGAAGAACCAGAAATTACCATTCACTATTTCACCTCAACTCTTTGAGGTATAGTTTCGTCAAAAAGTTATCAGTTCGTAATAATCAGATTTCGAACAAACATATCTCGCCGAATATGTTCAAACATAGACAAAATCGGACATAGCTTGCATAGACAATATTCGTAGTCTTCTGTAATAAGCCCAAATAAAATCTCACATTTCCCTACGAAGAAAAACTTTCTACGTTGGAATACTTTAATATACTTTTCTTTCAAAACTAATCTTACTTTGATAACTTTTTTGTAGATGTCGAAAAGAGGACGAAATAACTTCGATATGCCTTTTATATATAGAAATTCTAGGAAAGTTTTACTTCTCCAAGTAACAATTCTAAAAATGGTGATTGTGATGTCTTGATCAAAGTTCGACGGATCTGAAATTCTGCAAGAGACTATTTTAAAAAATATTGTTATAAAACATGTTAGAAGTCTTCCATCTGAAAGTATTTATGCAACAGAATTGAAGACAGAAAAAATAATGTGTATTAGTTTTGATAAAAATTAGCAAAAAGTAAATAACCGGTAGCTTTGATAACCGTTTTAATATGCTGCAGTATCCGCACAGTGTTTTCATCGAGTATAACTTTATCGTCAGATACCTTGTGCAGTCTCCTCAACATATCAAATACATTTATTTAATAGTTGAGAAATTGTTGAAATGGCATAGAAAAGTTGTATCCTTATACGTATGTGGACTGAACGGATTCAGCAGAAATACTGCAGGAACAGTTTGTTGTAGAAACTCTCCATTGTTAGAGATTTATTTATATGTTCATGCTAGGTATGTGTTCTTCCTTACCTACTATCTCTTCTTAGATTGAAATGGTTAGCATGAACAACAGCGCTGAATCAACTAAGTCCTCATTTCCAAAGAAAAGTGGGTTTATCAGTTCAACCAACGAGCCAAAGACGATAGCAAATGCACAAAATGCAAGAGACGCTCAGCATAAAATTATCAATAGAATAAAAAATTATACGTTTCAACAGAATATGTATGTCTTTTTCTTTTAATGTAAAATATTGTCGTTGTTGCTCTTTCCTAGGAAGCTTTTTTATTGGTTAATGTTGGATTTCATACCCAAACCTACATTTGTATTGCCTATGATTACAAGTATACTTACGATCATAGGTATACTGGTAGTTTGCTTTACTTCACCAAAATCACCAGGTACGTACTTGTTGCTTTGTATTCTTCGTATTCAATATGATAAAAATCCACAGTTTATTCGGTTCTGTTTCATTTGTATTGTGACTCTGGGTTAAAAACACTCAAACCATCTGGCGAGAACAGAATTATAAGCGTTACGACTGCTTCACTTTTCCATTTCAAATATCCTTTGAAAAACGCTAATCAACTAAGGTGATCATCATCAGTAGATTTGATACTTTGTCTCTAACTCGAGCCTTCCTATTTCACTTATTGGAAGGAATTATAGATTAGAAAACGATTCCAGAAAGCATCATCACATTGCCGCTTTGTTCTAGAGGAACGCAGATAGTAAGTTTCTCTGAGACGAAGTTTATCGCGTTTTCTCTTAGTTTTTTCATATGTCAATAAAACAACAATTTCACGAGCTGGTTGCTACAAATTGTTGTTACGCATTGTTACTTATTGCTGAAAGATCAACTTTATCTTATTCAATTTTCTAGAATCACTTCTTCTATTGTTTTTGATGGTACTCTTTCACGTCACGAAATGAAAACAGCAGCTTATCTTTGATTTCTTTTTCTCTATCTCATCGATATATTCTTGAATATAATAGAAATACGAAAGAATAAGAGAAAATACAACTCAATTCTCATAGAACATTACGAAAGTAAATATTTCTTCTCAACGGTACATATCTCTATATTTTCTCACTTAATGCTACCGGTAAAGGAATATAAGTAGTATGCATATTCCATCACTATCTTTTTTCGTTCTGATATCATGTTTTAATACGTATATATCTTCTTTTCTAGCATGCTCAGGTACATTCGTTTTCTTTTTCAATCTTTCTTTTTGATTCATGCATTTTCTCACATATTTTCTAGTGATTTATTTCTGTTACAGCTCTTTCAAGCTGTAAAACTTTGTATACACGTCATAAAATAATACTTTTATCTGACTAATAACTGATCAGTAATTGATCATTTTCACAAAGTGGATAAATAGTAAGCACATTTCTATTTTAACATAGTTCACATATCACGATAATAAAAATGTGTTATAATTATTAAACCTAACATCACACAAATTGTTCTGTAATGCACTATCTTCAATCAGGTCTGACAAAGAACACATTGTATTTAATCTCTATGGAAAGTATACCTCAAATACTTGAAACGGAAACCATATTGGATGATGATAATGAATAGGAAGAGCAAGATTCCAAAAATCCATTCACATTAGCATCGATATACCCCTATTTAGATGAATGTTCCTCTTCTATAAACTCACACGCCTATACCTACATTCTGCCTTTTTCACGTATGATAGAGTACGTCTCACTGAAAAATCTTTTTTAAAAATTGATCCTGGTCCATTTTAGAGTGTTAAAGATACTTGCTTCAAATTTCAAATAGACAGATGCCATGAAAAGAGTTGCATTGATGGGCCAATGATTCATTGTTCTTGGTGCAACAAGAACATGATTCACTCTTTTTTCAAATTATAATCATCATTAGACTGATCAATTCTTTTCTTGATTTTCTATTTTATTCTCATTCTTCGTATCATTGTAATTTCCTTATTAAGACAAACGTTAGGTAAAGATCGTCTTTTTTTATACGATAAGCAGCAAGGTGTAAGATGAGTTTGTAAGAAGTTAGCTCGTGAAAATCTTCCTTTATTGAGATATAGCCAATAGGACGAATTCTTTTGGGTTTTTTTTGTACTCTATAAGTTCTACTGACGAGAAAACTTTGAGCTCAAATAACAGGTATTTATGAGTATGACTTCCATATCACTAAGGTTACCAGTAAGTGGTAAGTACTACTTGCTAGTGAGGGCATATTGGTCAGTTTGATTTTTGTCTCAAACAAAGCCTATTTGATGAATTTTGATCTAAAGTGTTCGAAATCATGAAATCCAGAGGAAGAGCACATAAGAAAACCAATTTGCCTACATCAGAATTTTCGAAACAAGTCTATAACGGCTGAGGCAGATAAAATGGCTACACTTTTCATTTCAATTTTTAATTACTTAATACCGGGTTACATTTGCTTTGAAAATGGACAAGATTTTGAGCGATCGAATTTCGACCGTGAGAAAAATTGTCGCACAAAATCTTGTTGCTTTCGAAAACAAATACAATAAGCTTTACTATGTAAATTGTGTAGCTTTTCACGGTGCATCTAGTAGTATATTTTGTTTTTTTTCAACTAAAAACTATCAGGTGATAAAAAGATGAAATAAGAAAAAACGAATTCATCTTGTAGCAAGAAAATCTCGTTTTCGCATGGTCGAAATTAAGTCTCTCGAAATTCTGTGCATTTTGAAAGAAAACAGTACAATGGTTAAAAAAGCTGATCCATATAAATCGTAGAGTTTTTCACGTTACATCTTGTGGTATATTTTATCTTTTTAATACAACGTATTAAGTGAGTAAAAATTAAAATGCAAAGTTTAGCCATCTACTCTGCCTCATCCGTTATTTCGATGCAGAATGAGACAGTAAACCATTGGACACTGCATTTTATCTGTTTAGAAAGCCAATCAATGGTTCCTAATCCAGATTAATATATCATATTGTCATTGCACCCAAACGGCTATATCCAACAATAAGATAACCATAAGCTGAATTTACAATGAACTAATAGTGTTTCTATAGGGTTTGATGCAGTTTTTGACGGACTAACCGTTGATGTAGTTTTCTTCTAGTTATTTTATTAGCTAAAGCCTCTCAAGGTTTAATCCTGCCTAAAACTGCAACCATATGTGCTGTCATTGCAGAAGAACCTATGGTATTCATATTAACAAAACAGAAGCCGATTATATGATTGTCTAGAGTCGATCTAGACTGATTAGTGGAAGTTTCTCATCTGTATAATTATGATATCCACAAGAAAACTTTACCAGCGTGTAGTCCGTCAAAAACTGCATCAAACTTTGAAGAGGACAGTCCATCGTAAAGCTGTCTCCAAAGCAATTAAGAATCCAAAACCTTCCTGACATACCCGAAATATCGATGAAAACACTATTATCTCTCCATAAATTCAGCTTTTCTGCTGAGAATTTGTAGATAATTTACTCGTCTTTCAAATAAGACTATTTATAGGCAGGAGAATAAATATTTTCACAAAGTTATTGTTAGTGTACAGTCATCTGACTGCAGTAAAAATATAGGATTGTAATCTGCCTCAGAAGTCATTGAATCGTTTTCAAGTAGATGATCTGTCTTTTTATGCGTCTTTCTCATTTGTTCGTAGCTTTTCGAAATGTGTAATATTAAGCTTTTTCCTCTGGAAGGACTATATCTCGAAAATAACGATACTACAAACTTTGAGAAACTATGAATGGATTCACATTTCTCAACTCCAAAGTCATTTGATCAAGCTTGAAATGCAGTGTTATTTTCGTAAAATAAGTTTCTTTGGAGCGAAAAATTAAACTGACACATTTTCCAGTACCAAATAAGATAATCTGTCAGTAATAGTAATTCACCGTCTCAGCCCTCTAACCAAATAAAAAGCACTTATCAATTATCCGAAACCATCAATTATCACTCAACTCATCAGGTGATAACTGTTAATAAACTGTCAGTGTTCTATTCATTGCGTAATCTCGAACACTCGTAAAAAAAAACTTGTTATATTCTAATTGCTGTTGTTAGTCAACAATGCGTGATATTCATGACGCGATGGCAAGAGTTTTGTAACACGGACATACTGACATTCATTTGATTTCGAAACGGTTCGAAATTATCATCCTTATATTATAATTGTAGGTAATGACGTGTCCTCGAAGAATCCGTAAGATAGGAACGAATGTGGTTTTGAACTCTTACTTAGGGAGAGTTCATAATTCGTTTTCTCATCATGTTAGCTACTGTCTCTGTTCTTCCTCAGCCACTAGGAGTTGCGCGAGACTCAACGAGGTTTTATTGAAAAGTGCTGGTTCTCATTCAGTTTTGTTTGTAATGATCTGACTATTCTCAATAGAAAATCATCAGGATTATCGAAATCTGATACGATCCATTAGACATAGTTCAATCATAGTAACTGATCAGTCTTTATTTCTTTGTTCTTGCGTTACTTAGTTCCAAAATGTGAACTTAATTTTAAAGCAACGGCCCAAAATCCAATTAACTATAAGTATGGTCCACGAGCTGTTGCCATGGGAGACTTCAACAACGATACCTTGCTAGATATTGTTGTTGCCAATTATGCTGCTGACAATATAGCCATATATTTTGGACATGGCAATGGCACCGTGGCAAGTCCAGTCATGTTTTCAACTGGTTATGGCTCTGCTCCATACATGATTGCTGTTGGTGATTTTGATAACGATCATCGACTGGATGTCGCTGTCGCAAATTTCGGCACAAATAGCGTCGGTGTACTTCTTAGATTCCAAAATGGGTCTTTTGAAAACAAACTAGTTTTATCAACTGAATCATCTCGTCCAGTTTGGATCCATGTAGCAGATCTTAACAATGATACAGCACTAGATATTATCACTGCTAACTACGGCACACACAGTGTAAGCATATTTTATGGATATGGGAATGCAAACTTTTCAAATCCAAGCACATATTCTATAGGCTATGATTCTTTCCCGTTAGCAGTTGTTAGTGGCGATTTCAACAACGACAAACAGATGGATCTTGCTATCGCCAATTATGGTACCAATAATGTCGGTATCATGTTTGGAGCTAGTAACGGCACTTTCGCAAAACAAAGCACGCTCTTAACTGGTCTTAATTCCCATCCATACTCGCTTGTTGCTGGTCATTTAAACGAAGACACTAATCTAGATATTGCCGTCACCACCTATGGAGATAACAGTGTTGGTATACTTCTAGGTCATGGTAATGGAACGCTTGTAACCCCGATGACATATTCCCTCGGTGCTGCTTCTCCTTATTCTATTGGAATTGGTGACTTCAACAACGATAATCGAATGGATTTAGTCGTCACCAATAATGGCACTGACAATATAGCTCTACTTGTTGGGCATGGCAACGGTACTTTTGCAAGCCCAAAACTGTATTCAACTGGATCTTCTTCATCAATCTCCATTGTCATAGGTGATTTAAATAGCGACAATCGTTCAGACATTGCCTTCATCAACAATGATACGAGCACCATAGGCATCATGCTTGCCTATGACGAATTTTTTCCTATTCAAACGACATATTCCACTGGCACTTCTCCATACTCTGTAGCCGTTGGTGATTTTAACAACGACGCCCATCTGGACATCGTCGTCACTAATGCGAAGGACAACAATATAAGTGTAATTATCGGATATGGCAATGGCTCTTTTGCAAATCAAAAGACATATTCAACTGGCGGTGGACCATTCTCTGAAGCTGTTTGTGACTTTAACAACGACAACCGACTGGATATTGTCGTCGCTAATTATTATGATAACACCATAAGTATTCTTCTTGGACATGGAAATGGTTCTTTTTCAAATCAAAAGACGTATTCAACTGGCACTTACCCCAACTCTGTAGCTGTTGGTGATTTTAACCACGACGCCCATCAGGATATCGTCGTCACTAATACGAATGACAACACTATAGGAGTATTTCTCAATTATGAAAATGGCTTCTTTGCAGATCAAACGACATATTCAACTGGTACAACGCCAGTCTCTGTGGCTGTTGGTGATTTTAATAATGATACCCAGCTGGATATCGTCATCGCCAATCTTGATGACAACACTGTAAGTGTACTTCTCGGATATGGCAATGGCTCTTTTGCAAATCAAACGACATATGCAACTGGTTCCATCCCAATATATATAGCTGTTGCTGATGTCAATAACGACACTCATCTCGATATCATCGTCGTTAATCAAAAGGAGAACACTGCTAGTGTACTTCTCGGATATGGAAATGGCTCTTTTTCAAGTCAAACGACATATTCAACTGGCTCTACCCCAAGCACTGTAGCTGTAAGTGACTTTAACAATGACACCCAACTGGATATTGTCGTTGCTAATGTTGGTGACAACACTGTAAGCATCCTTCTCGGATATGACAATGGCTCTTTTGCAAATCAAACGACATATTTAACTGGCTCTTACCCAATTGCTGTAGCTGTTGGTGATTTTAACAACGACACTCGACCGGATATTGTTGTCGCTAATTTCAATGGCAACACTGTAGGTGTACTACTTCGATATGACAGAGGAGCTCTGAAAAATAAAATCACATTTGCGCCTACCAATGGTTCTCGTTTGCGAAACTTTGCCCTTTTTGATTTCAATAACGATAGCCTACTGGATATCGCTGTTGTCAATTATGGTACTAATAACATAGGTGTCCTTCTTGGACATGGGAATGGCACTTTTGGAAATCAAATGATGCTCTCAACAGGCTTAAATTCTCATCCTTACTACATCACTATCCATGATTTCAATAGAGACGGTCAAGCAGATATAGCTGTGGCCAATTATGGTGCTAAAAATCTTGTTACGTTTCTGGGAAGTGGAAATGGAACATTTGAAAATCAAGGACGTTACGGTATAAATTTTGATTTCGCTCCATTGATTATTGGTGCCAATAGTTTTAACAAAGATGGGCGTTCAGAAATTTTCGTTGCATACGATGGCATCGATTATGTAGATGTGCTGGTTACATACGACATCGGATCTTTCAGTAATCACGATAAATATTCAACTGACGTTTGGCCAAGATCTGTAGCTCTTAGCGATTTTAATAACGACACCCAACTGGATATCGTCATCGCTAATCAGTACGACAACACTGTAAGTATCCTTCTCGGACATGGAGATGGTTCTTTCACTAATCAAACGACATACTCAACTGGTTCTAACCCATTCTCTGTAGCTGTTGGCGATTTTAATAACGATACCCATATGGATATCGTCGTCGCTAATCTTAATGACAATACTGTAAGTGTCCTTCTCGGATATGGCAATGGCTCTTTTGCAAATCAAACGACACATTCAACTGGCTCTAACCCAAAGTCTGTAGCTATTGGTGATTTTAACAACGACACCCGACCGGATATCGTCGTTGCTAATTGGGGTGACAACACTGTAAGTATCCTTCTCGGATATGGAAAAGGTTCTTTCACTAATCAAACGACATACTCAACTGGTTCTAACCCATTCTCTGTAGCTGTTGGTGATTTTAATAACGATACCCATATGGATATCGTCGTTGCTAATCTTAATGACAATACTGTAAGTGTCCTTCTCGGATATGGCAATGGCTCTTTTGCAAATCAAACGACATATTCAACTGGCTCTAACCCAAAGTCTGTAGCTATTGGTGATTTTAATAACGACACCCAACTGGATATCGTCGTTGCTAATTTATATGACAATACTGTAAGCATCCTTCTCGGATATGGCAATGGCTCTTTTGCAAATCAAACGACATATTCAACTGGCTCTGGACCAAGTTCTGTAGCTATTGATGATTTTAATAATGACAACCGACTGGATATCGTCGTCACTAATTGGAATGACAACACTATGAGTGTTCTTCTTGGATATGGCAATGGTGTTTTTGCAAGTCAATTGACCTATTCAACTGGCATTAGTCCATCATCTGTAGCTGTTGACGATTTTAATAATGACACCCGGCTAGATATCGTCGTCATTAATCTAAATGAGCCCACTGCTAGTGTATATCTCGGATATCCGAATGAAGGCTTTCTTAATCAAATGAGACTCATAACTGGGAATGGATCTCGGCCTAAGTCATTCGCCATTGGAGATTTTAACAATGACAGTCAAATGGATATAGCAGTGGCGAATTCAGGCAATAACAATATTGGTGTCTTTCTGAGATACGACAATGGTTCTTTCAGAAATCAAATGGCATATGCAACTGATTCCTCTCCGTGGTCGGTAGCTGTTGGTGATTTCAACAATGATACCATACTTGATATTGTCGTCGCGAATCTTGGCAGTGACAATGTTGGTGTATTTCTTGGACGGGGCAATGGTTCGTTTTCGAGCCAGAAAACGTTTACAACTGGTTTAAGCTCTCAACCAAACACGGTTGCTGTTGAAGATTTCAACAACGACACCTTGCTAGACATTATTGTCGCTAATTATGGCACAAACAACATAGGTGTGTTGCTTGGTCATGGGAATGGCTCCTTCACAAGTGTCAAGTTTTTTTCAATCAGTTATGGATCTCTTCCATTCTCAATTTCCGTTCGTGATTTAGATAATGATGGAAAATTGGATTTCGTCATCGCCAACGAAGGTGCTGACAATTTAAACATTTTTTTACAGACCTGTTAATATTACCACTGCTGCCTTAAGATTTTTTTTCATTGATTCATTATTCCTAACTTCTGCTTAGCGCTACTAATATTTCTTCTAACTATTTTTGTGTGTGAGTATATGTTAAGCATTAAAATATTTTACATGAAGATAAGAAATATCAAGTGAAGCTATGGCAATACGTCTAAATTTGACAAAGAATTTCGTCAGATGTATGACATGGATATGCCAAGCACATGATGATGTGTTTCGCTCTTGCTTAATGCTCTCATCATATGACTAGACAAGAGTTTCTTTTTGAGTGATATTACGATCGTAGAAACGAGAAATAATCTACAATTAGCTTTTATAGTTTTTTTTGAGACATAGAGGAAATTATATTTGACTGTTAAAGTATTCCTGGACGGC